CCCAGGTATATTGGACCGTTTAGGGTTTTAGCTCGAGTGGGCAAGGTAGCGTACAGGCTGGACTTGCCAGCCGAACTCAGTCAGATCCACAACACTTTCCACGTCTCCCAGTTGCGGAAGTGTCTGGTGGACGACTTCGCAGTGGTGCCCTTAGAGGATATTCAGGTCGATGACAGCCTGAATTACATTGAGCGGCATGTGGCGATCCTTGACCGGAAGTCGAAGGATCTGAGAAACAAGAGGGTCGAGCTGGTGAAGGTGCAATGGCAGCACCGGAAGGGCTCGGAATGGACTTGGGAGCCGGTGGATGAGATGATGGAGCATTACCCAGAACTTTTCCAGAAACAAGCAGCAGACTTCGAGGACGAAGTCTAAAATAAGTGGGGGATATTTGTAGCACCTGGTTCCTGGTATGTATTTTATTCAAGTATTTTGCGTTTTTGGCATGGGACTCGGCGAGTTGAAGGCCCAACTCGTCGAGTAGAAACAGATTTGATCCGGGATTTAAATGACGGACTCATCGAGTCGGCTTCCGGACTCGACGAGTAGACTCTGACTGGACAAAACCCTAATCTAAGGGTTTGCACCCTATTTAAACATCTCATTCAGCCACCCTTCGTCCCTATTGCTTCCAGAAACCCCCCATAGCAAACCCTAACTGTGTGTGTGAAGATCTAAAGGCATTTGTGGTGACTCTTGGTGGTCTTGATCACAAGGAAGAAGGAAGGGCCTAGAGGAATCAAGAGAAGACCAAGGGGGTTCAAGTTTGTGCATCATTTGCAGTTCCCAGAAGGTATAAAGTCGATACCTTGCTTGTTCATTTGTTCGATCCCTCTTTGGGGAGATTTAGGGCTTTTATAAGCCATTTTTGGTAACCAACCATGATTGCAAGCATGGTTGGGGGTTGAGGCTTCAGATCTAGGTCCATGAAGGAGTTACAAGGCAGATAAGGGCTGCTTTTGCACCCATGGAAGCCCCCATGTAAATCAAGAGTCTCTTTTAGAGCCTTTTTGGCTCAAAGTCCCATGCATGCAAATAAAGTTCGTAACTTTACGTGCTAGATCGAGTTTAGGGACCTAGATCTATCATTTGGACAAGAGTTGTACACCAGAAATCGAAGAAATAAGACTTGAACTGTATCGACTCGGCGAGTCGTTCTTGGGACTCGGCGAGTCCGAGGTTAGACTCCCCTTTTCTGTTATGGGTCAAGGAGACCCAGTGGAGTGCTGGAAAGGTTTTAGAGGGTCCGGAGGAATAACCCAACGTTTTGGGATAAGCCATAGTCCTGGAGTTCATAGGACTCGACGAGTACATGAACAGACTCGGCGAGTCCAAGACAATCTCCCAACTCTTGAGGATGAACTCGACGAGTTGTTCATACAACTCGGCGAGTCGAGGACAAGACTTGTTTATAGGAAGGAGATGAACTCGATGAGTTGTTCATACAACTCGGAGAGTCGGATGAAGGTTCATCCGGGGTTGTTCTAGAAGGAGAACTCGTCGAGTCGTTGCCAAACTCGACGAGTAGAGGCGTGAAGAAAGACAGATGAAAGGATAGGGACTCGACGAGTTGGCGGCCCAACTCGGCGAGTCGGGTCAACTGGAAGTTGACTTTGACCTTGTCTTGGACTTGGTCAGGGGTAAAATGGTCATTTTACCCTAGGAATAGATATCAGACTCTGACTAAGTGTTTTTGTGGGGATTATAGCTGGAGGATTTCCGGAGCAGCAGCAGACAGAGATTTCCCCGCGCAGATTATCAGCAACTACTCGTTCAAGGTGAGTTATCTTCCCATAGCGGTGGGTCTACGGCCACAATGTCGGCCCACCAGTAGGAGTTGTATGTTAGATGACTGTCTTTGTGATATTCATCTAGGTTTGATACTACCTGATGTGTTATGTGCTAGTATGATATGATGTTATATGCTAGTATCAGTAGGGGAGAAAGTCCCCAAGATTTTCGGTCGATAGGGCCGAAGGGGGGTAGTCATACCCAGTCATGCTAGATAGAATATGATTATGTGTTATATGTTATGTGGTAGTAGTAGAGGGGTGAAACAGTCCCCAATATCCGGTCGAGAGGACCGAAGGGGAGGCCAGCACCCAGATATGCTAGGCAGTATCCGGTCGAGAGGACCGAAGGGGAGGCCAACACCCAGATATGCTAGGCAGTATCCGGTCGAGAGGACCGAAGGGGAGGCCAACACCCAGATATGCTAGGCAGTATCCGGTCGAGAGGACCGAAGGGGTAGGTCGGGCACCCAGATATGCCTGACAGTATATGTATGTTATATGATTGTTTGGTATGAGGTACGATGGGGGAACTCACTAAGCTTCGTGCTTACAGTTTACAGTTTTGGTTCCAGGTACCTCTTCATCGAAGGGGAAGGAGCTGGCGCGGTAGCAGCACATCATACACACACACATTGATTTTCCGCACTTGAGATATTCTGGGATTGTACTCTGACATGTTGCTATGTTATGATTTGGGTTTTCAGACATGTTATGTTGATTTACGAAACGATATGTTTTTACGTAGTTTTCTTATGAATGTTTTATACTCAGTTAATTAAAATGAAATTTTTGGACTCGAAATTTGGGATGTGACAATGAGTGTGTTTGTTACTGTATCTCATAATGCATTAGTTCATAAGCATGGCTCCCACTAGATGTATTGTATATTATTGTTTTGCATGGGAAAATCCCCTTTTTATGAAAACCCTGACTATCACCAGTATGTATAGTAAGTTTGGAGTAACTCTGGAAAACTCTAGCATGTATAGTAGTTCTATTATTTATAATAAAACTATTTGAAGTTATTACCATTCATACATTAATCGTATACTCTTAGTACCAAATTTATGAGTTGTTATAACCATACTTGACCATTGAATTGCCTGAACGACGTTCTTCAGGTGTCGGAATCGAAATGACTTTGTCACCCAGGCCTGCCGGCCTAACTGTAGCTAATAGTTATGGTGCGGGATTGTCAATCCTGTATAGATCTATACACAAACTCACGTTCTCCCGCAAGGAGACTCTGGTTATAATCTCAGGACTTTTGTTAGTACTTAAATAAGTACGCGAAGAATGATCACTCATAAAATGCTATACTAACGACTAGATGTAGAATAAAATGAATCCATTGAATTTATGCTTTGTACATTGATAAGATAATTGTTCCATAAACTATACATATTATAGTTTATATGTTCGTTAATGTATTCAATTCATGTTTTACACTGAAAACTCTACGATTTTGTTGAAAACTTCCCTTATGCTCAGCATAATACAAAAGGGATAAAATATCTAAGTATTTTATAAAAGTATGGAAACTGTATGGTTGTATGAATTGCATCAGTTCTAAGTGTATTGAAATCCTTTTGTAAAGTTTCACAAGGTCAATGATATTTGGCTTGTACTCCCCCCTGAAAACGTTAAAACAGTAAAGGTGTAGGGGTATGAACTCACCTGCTTGTGAGTGACTTGGATGAATGACAAAGGTAGTATGCTTGGTATGCTAAGTGAAGTCCCGAGCACAATACGGTCCTAATAAGCACATATTAACATGTATAGGCCTACAATTAGTGTCTCAAACCACTAACAAGCATAGGAAACACCCTTCGGATGTAGGAAACACTTACAATGAAGTGTTAGAATCAAGAATGAGGGACAAAAAGGAGTTTACGGCCAACCACCATGGGTTTACGGCCCAAGATGTGTTCACGGCCCATGAACACATGAAGGGTTTACGACCCAAGATGTGTTCACGAGCCATGAACACATGAAGGGTTTACGGCCCACTCATGAACATTTGAAGGGTTTACGACCCATCTATGAAGGGTTCACGACCCTCTGAAGGGTTCACGGCCGCGAACTCTTCAAGATCATAAAGATGGTGATGAAAGTGATGAATCAATGGATGAATATGAAACACTTTACATGAATAAGATGAATAACAAGTGAAAAAAGAGAGAATTACTTACTCTTGTGGGGTGGGAGAAGAGCTTTTGTTGGATGAGTTTTGAGAGAATCTTGAGGAGTTTTCGGCCAAGGAGGGAAGAAATGAGGAAAAATGAAGGAAATATATATATATATATATATATATATATATATATATATATATATATATATATATATATATATATATATGGAGAGGGGTTCACGGCCCAACATGGTTTCATAGCCGTGAACCTAGTTTGCGGCTGTGAACACCCTTTGAAGAGTTTTCTGGTTCGATTTCATCCCCCTAATCCCAAGCTAACACTTCTCAACATCCAACTCTTAAATGTACTAGACTTAAAGACTCTCAAACTGACCCTGAACATAATAAAGTGATAGCAGAAACAAGTCTGATTTTTATTCATTGAATTTTGAATTACAGAAAAAAGATTTCGGGTTGTCACATATTCCGTCGCTAATCCGTTGGTAATTAGGGACGGATTCCCGACAGACTTATTCTATTTTCAACTTTTCAAGCACCATACGTCGTTTTTTCCGATTTCTTTTTCTCACACCAAAATAATACCTAAATAACTACACATTTTACAAATTATATCTAATATACACATAAGTATACCCGCGTACACCTTCGAAATCGATGTTTCAATTATAATTTTAAAGTTCTCCGGGACCAAACATGGTTTTTATCGCTTTTCTTACTCACACCTTTATTATACACCAATTAATACACATTAAACAAATTATAGCACACTTAGTACATACAACCGTATACACCATCGGGATCCTTTATATTAATATGTATTAAAACGTTAAAGCATAAGATTAGTAACGAGGCTCTGATGGTGTGTACGGATGTTCGTATGTGTATATTAGTTGTAATTTTGTAAATGCATCGTATTTTATTTATAATACAAGTGTGATATATATATATATATATATATATATATATATATATATATATATATATATATATATATATATATATACGCGGAAAAAACGATTTTTTTTGCTAAAAAAAAATTGAAAATTAGAATCGAAATGTCGGTCTCGAAGGTTTACATGGGTGTACGTATGTGTATATTAGCTATAATTTGGTAAATATATAGTAACTGATGTATAATATATGTGTGAGAAAAACAAAGCGGAAAAAACGATGTACACCCGTTTTTTTTCAAATTTTCACGCACCATATATCGTTTTTTCCCATTTATTTTTCTCACACCCATATAATACATAAATAACTATACATTTTACAAATTATAGATAATATACACAGACGTACACCCGTGTACACCTTCAAGACCGACGTTTCGATTCTAATTTTCAAGGTCTCGGGGACCAAACATGTTTTTTGTTGCTTTATGTTACTCACACATTTATTATACACCAATTAATACACATTTATCAAATTATAATTATTGTAAATATTACTATTATTATTATTTCGTCGATAGTTATAATATTTTAATTATAAAAATAGTAGTTATTTAATTATTAATATTAATAATAGTGATTGATTTATTTTTAAAATAGAACTATTAAAAAAATTTATTTATTTTGTAAAAAAGCATTTATGTTGGTAATTTATTATTTTCTTATTATTATTAATTGTATTATTATTATTATTGTATTTATTGCATTTTATTTATTTATTATTATTATTATTATTATTTATAATACTAATAGTTATGATAAACTACAACGAATTATATTATTTTAATTAAAAAGTAAATAGTTATTTAATTACTAATATTTATTTATATTAGTTAAACTATTTTTATACTAATACTAATAAATATGTTGATTTATTTGTTTAATAATTATAATATTTTAAATATAAAAATTAATAGGTAATTAATAATATTAATAATAATAATTAAGTTATTTTTATAATAATAATAATAATAATAACAATAAAAGGTTATTTACTTTCTCAAACAATATTTATGATAATTAGAAAATTGAATATTATTATATATATATTATATATATATCTTATATATATATATCTATATATATATATATATTATTTTAATTATATAAATAAAGAATTGTACAATTAGTAATACTAATATTAATAACTGAATTATTTATAGAATATTACTATAAAAAAATGGATTTATTTTCTAAAAAAGCATTTGTGTCGGAAATCCGTCGGTGATTACCGACGAAATAGCGACGGACATCCCAAGTATAGAATATTGTTCACAATTCGTCAGTATTCCGTCGGTATTTACTGACGGATTTCCGACGAAAATTATTTCCGTCGTTAAATAGTCAGTATTTCGTCACTAACATTAGGGTTTTTATGTGTGTCACAGTTCGGTCGGAATTCAGTCACTAGTTTCTGTAGGAAAACACCTTGTTTTCTAGTTGTGTGTGTGTGTATATATATATATATATATATATATATATATATATAGAGAGAGAGAGAGAGAGAGAGACTTTCAAGTATTTTTACTAATTATTGTGTGGATGTGAGAATTATTATGAGCCAATCAAAATTAAATAAAAAAATTAAATAATTAACAAAATCAATCAGGGTTATTTAAAAATTTGGTAAGTAAATTCCATAAATACTCCCTATAATCATGGTAGAATTGACTATTAACCTAATTTATCACCTAATTTATCCCTTATTTATCTACAGGCCGTCCCTATAGCACCACCACCCGTTTCGCCTAATACCACCGACACCTAAGTCTTTTGCCGGTGAGGCTTATGATTCAATTCACCAATTGTGCATCTTCCTCCTCAATAGCTTCAATCTTCCACCCGATAAAGCCCTAGTTGTCCACATCCTATCGCATGACTTCCCTTTCCAATTCGTCGGCGTAGTAACCGTAACCCACCATTCCGCCATCTTCTCCCTCATCTGGCCTGATCTAGGTGGCGAAGAACTTCAGAAAGAGCTCACCACCCTCAACGTCTCCACTCTCTCGGAAAAAATTGGCATTTTCGTTGAACACCTGGCCTCTCTCCTATCACTTGATATGGCATCAGAGAAAAGGATTGATAGGCTGGCTGTAAAGGTTGGCGAGAATTTGTTTAATTTTATTCAATCTTTTTATGGAGTTGATGGAAGCAAATTGACTGTACCAATGGATATCTTGGATCGGTGGTTTAAGAAGTTTCAAGAATGGGCAAAACGAGATCCTGAATACTTGAAGGGATTTGCAACGTAGTGTGAATTAAGGTACATTTCCTTTACTTTTTTTTTCCAAACAAGTGTGTATTTTGCACTCAAAGTGTTTGATCAAATGTCTGTGTCATAAAAGCTTGAGTTTTAGTGCCTGTTTAATTTAATTTGTGAGTGAGCTTCTTCTTCAAACATAATATTTAGATGTGTGAACATGTTATGCTTCTCAAGGACAAATTAGGCACATAAATCGTCCCAAATCTTCTTAAGGGCAAATTATTGCAGAAGTTACTGGAAGCAATACAGTTTTTGTTGAAGAAGATGAACTTATGAGTATCCTTATTCTTAATTGTTCGTAATTTCTTACCAGGACATCATCAGGTTAGCTCTGGTAATTGGAATGTTGCAGGTATTACTTATAGAGCTTATGATCTTGAAGGACAAACAGTAGGAACGTTTGGTTGTGGGCGTATTGGTAGGATTTTACTTTAACGATTGAATCCTTTTAGGTGTAATCTTCTTTACCAGATCAGATTAAAATGGAATCGGAATTGGAGAATCAAATTGGTGCAACATTTGAGGAAGATCTTGATCAGATGCTTCCTAAATGTGACATTATCCTCATCAATACCCCTTTAACAGATAAAACAAAGTGAGTATTTTTTTTTGTTAAAGTTGAGATGTTTTTATACTAATTTGCACTATTGATGTGTATGTTTCATAGGAATGAAGAAGGTTAGGAACAATCATCAATTAACCTCCTTTCTTTTATTTAGTTATCGATTTTTTATGTATTTTATTTACTCGTCAGTTATTTTTTGCATCAATCAAAATCAGAACAAGTATACATATGTGGTATGCATTCTATTAGAATTACTAAAGCTTGTTTTATTATATGTCATATAAAAGCATTCCGATTGTGACATGATTCTGACAGAATGTTATTATTACATAACTTGATTTCATAGAAGTTATTCTCATAGAATTTGTGAAGGGAACATGGTTATCAAGGACACAGAGGTTGGATGATGGTGTGTGTAATGGAGATGAACAATGGTCAACAAAGAAAGAACTATTTATCATGATATTCTGACACAATAATCTACAATAAAATGATAAGACTATATGTAATAGTATATTTTGGCAGAATAATCTAGAAATTGTGTTTGTTTTTATATTAGTGGGTGTTTTATTATCGTAGAAGTGAATATAAAGTTTTTTTTTTTTTTTTTTTTTTTTTTTTTTTTTTTTTTTTTTTAAAGAACGTGACAGAAAAAATTTAACTTGTATCCAAAAATTTGTTATTCTTCGAGAAGTAAGACTCTTTTATTTGTTTATGACTTGCATTTTCATAGAATAACATTATAAAAGAATGTCATTTGGACATAATAGAATAAAACCGGGTATGATTATAAATTATGTTAGAATTATTTGAATTGTATTAATTAAAAAAATCAGAATTCAAAATTAAGATAATCAAATATCCCTTAAAAATCTAAAAATTTCCTTTTTAAATTTGTGTTTTCTAATTTTAAGGCAACCCAAATGTACAATATTTTTCTTTTTTTTAATTAAATGGTAATATTCTATTTTTCTTTAATTTAAAAATATAGATAAATCATTTCTTAAAATAAAAATGATTGGTCTATATTCATCATTATATCCACACAATAATTAGTTAGAAAACAATAATCTAAGCATATATATATATATATATATATATATATATATATATATATATATATATTCATGTGTATTTTATATTTAGTACATCGAATGGGGAGCATGATTATTATGTCTCAAAGTGTATGCATGAAATGGTTTTGTACAGACAATGATGATGATTTCCTAGAGTAAGTAGTTTTTTGAATTTTAAAAATTAAACCTTAATTTTTATTAAATTAAGAAAATTTATATTACTTTGTATGTAGAACCTTTGAAATTATAAAACACCATTGACGGGTGCGGAGTTGGATGATTTTGTTGAGTTCTCGATGACATCTTTTTATAAAAACTATTTGAAGTGAAGGTATGTTACATTTTTTAGTTGTTATTACTTATTATTGCAATATCAAATTATTTATGTTAAATGATTCTTACAAGCTACAAGTTAATTGTGTATATTGTCAATGTGTTATATTAATATTATTCTTTTTCAACAGATTATTGCAATGTGATATGGTAGTGACCAAGGAGACCTCAAGAGCTATACACAAAACGGGTTAGGCTTGGAAATGGAAAAAAAGATGCAAATGTAATTAAGATTAGTTGAACATAACAATATTGATTTGTTTCATATTGAACATAACAATTACCTATTTAAGTCTATATATATACTAAATTTTAATTTTTTCAACTTGTATTTTTCTATTTACGTCTTTGATGAAAGAATGGTTGGTTGATAAATATGACGGGATTAACTTGTTAGCATAAAGGTTCAATATACTAATAATATATGTACTAATTAACACCAATAATACACCATACAATATACAAATCAATAGGATACACCATAGAGTACACGCAAATATCATCAAATCAATAGGATACATCGGATACACCCAAAAATCATCATATCAATAGAATACACCATATAGGATACACCATACAGATATGGCAAAAATCCGCAAAAATAAATAGAATACACTATATAGGATACACTCATATAGATATGGCAAAATTCTCATCTCTAAATGATACAACATATAGCATACAATTGTTTTAACCGTATTCTAATTCATTTGTAATAGGATACACCCTCAATGGAATACGGCTGATTATGTATTTATATTAGCAAAAAAAGTTGTATCCAATTCCTTGTTTTCTATGTAAAACTTAGAAAACAAACAAGAAATCCACGATAATACTCAATTTATCAAAATAGCATCAAATTTCAATTCTCTACGCACAAATATAGCATTTCAACCTCTTAATTCACTTAATAACTAAGAAAACCAAACCAATAGCAACTAACTAAAAAAATCATCGCAATTGTTGTTGAAGAGTGACGCACGAGAAACTTTCGAAGACATAGTTGATTGACTTTTCTCACTTCCTATTAGATGAAGTAACGAGCACAATACGATGCATTTACCTCTAATAGAATGTGTGATCTCATATTTTTGCGACATTCTCTACAACCTTGTTTTGAAGTGGCGACAACGTATATTAAAAACTGATTCTTGTTAAGTGTGTACTCGGTTTTTTAATAGATAACTTAAATTTACGACAGACAGTTATGTTTGTCCTAAATCCATAAGATTTCATGAAATGCTGTGTGATATTATTTTTATGATAAGATTCCATGACATATTACCAACTAATTCGTGTGTTATTAAATGTGTTTTCTCTAGTAGTTGGCTGATTTCACACTGATTACATGACATATTACCAACTGATTAAATAAACTATGTTTAAGTGACAGATTTTTGATAGATTGATTTAGTGATGGATTCCGACAGGCAATTTTCCAATCAAATAAAATATAACATTATTTCTGGCAGATTCCGTGACATATTATATATTAGCAACTAAAAGTAGAACCATTTGATTCCTGTTTTAACCTGCAATGGACCAAAGCGAGAATTGTTAAAAAAAAGCTATGGGGCCAAGAACGGAAATTAAAACCTAAAAATCTGAAGCCAAAACCGTACGTACTGAATAAAGCCAGATCCTATTACATCATGTTTATTCGATCGGGAATAAGTGTTGTATACCACTATACCCTAATATTTTAGTGAAGAAATGTAGCAAGCTGGAGGCGCTGACCGGATAGCTGATTTGATCATTAGATAAGCAATGTGCAAGCGTTGACCTAAGCTAGTATTTGAGAGCATATGCTTATATGCTTCCACTGATTCTGTGTCGTTTGTCTTTAAATACCCCATAACTTCAGTACATGTTCTTCTCATCTCCTTTTCTTCCTTCAAATTCATTATCTCCCTAAAGCACCACCGCAGAGCAAGAAACCCTCTTCACAAGGTATACATATAAACTAATAATATGCTCTCTCCCTCTAAATATTTCACCGAATGTTTTTCTATTTTCTTTATTTTTTAAATCTCGTTGTTTCCTATTTTTTTTTTGTAAGACAATGTTGCTCTTCTTAAAATATAGTACAAAGTAAAATATCCCAAGATGCATCTTAGTGACCACCCGAAAAATATAGTACAATGTCAATGTAGCTTTTCATATGAAGCTTTTTACCTTACATATAGTTAGGGGTGATAATTTATAACACGGCACGACAAAAATATACGACACGAAACGAAATTGGGACGAAACTGAAATTTGAATTCGTGTTCGTGTCGTGTTCGTGTTAACTGTAAAAAACACGATGTCGTGTCGTGTCGTGTTCGTGTTCAAAATTTGACACGAAATTGACACGATTTAGCAGTTATATATCGTGTTTGTCGTGTTTATCGTGTTATATCTGATAAAATATTCATTAAATAAACTAGTATTTAGTATATGTTATATTTGTCGTGTCGTGTCGTGTTTGTCGTTTTTTAACTCGTTCGTTTTCGTGTTAATTAAAAAAAAACACGACATCGTGTCGTGTCGTGTTCGTGTTACATAAAACCTTCTCGTGTCGTGTCGTGTCAAACAGAAACACGAAACGATAGCACGATTTGCCACCCCTACATATAGTGATCACCCGGATAATTCATAGAGCAAGATCTCATTAAGTTATCTTAAAACACAATTCACACACTTGTGTGTTATGCATGCATGCATGGCTTTTAGTTAACAACCAAACAAAAGCAGTTGGCCAATCAATTAGGTCACCATTCGTGACAGCGGGCAAGCATGCATTTTTAATATCTCATTTAAAAATTTAATGAGAATTTCTTCAATATTTTTGGAATTTTATATGATTTTTCAGCGTCAATAATGCAAATATTAAATTCTCCTTAGATATTTCTATTAGAAAGAATATGTATTTTGATCGTTTTCTAAATTAACATTCACTTTCTATATACTTGAGTGTAGGTGTAGTTTTGAAAGAAAATAGTAGCAATGCCTCGCGAGCAACTGCAAGTGCTCAATGCACTTGATACTGCCAAGACCCAGTTATACCATTTCACGGCAATTGTCATCGCCGGAATGGGTTTCTTCACAGATGCATACGATCTCTTTGCAATTTCTCTGGTCACCAAACTGCTTGGCCGTATCTACTACCACAGAGAGGGTGCACTGAAGCCCGGAACTCTACCCCCTGGTGTGAACTCTTCGGTCACAGCCGTTGCTCTTGTTGGAACCTTAGCCGGTCAACTCTTCTTCGGGTGGCTTGGTGATAAAATGGGCCGAAAAAAGGTCTACGGTATGACTTTGGCTGTCATGGTTATATGCTCCCTAGCTTCGGGGCTCTCTTTTGGGAGGGAACGGAGATCTGTGATGGCTGTCCTTTGTTTCTTTAGATTCTGGCTTGGGTTTGGTATCGGTGGTGATTATCCTCTCTCTGCAACGATTATGTCGGAATACGCTAACAAGAAGACACGTGGTGCCTTTATCGCTGCGGTTTTCGCCATGCAAGGGTTTGGGATTTTGGCTAGTGGGATTGTTGCATTAGTAGTGTCGGCTGCTTTTGACCATGCATTTAGTGCTCCTTCGTATGCGACAAACGCTTTATTGTCAACTCCGGTACAAGCCGACTACGTCTGGCGTATCATACTCATGTTTGGTGCTATTCCGGCAGGGTTGACTTATTACTGGCGTATGAAGATGCCAGAAACTGCACGTTACACCGCTCTGGTTGCAAAAAACGCTAAACAAGCAGCATCAGATATGGCTCGAGTTTTGCAAGTTGACATTGAAGCCGAAGAACAGAAGGTAGAGACAATTACACAGGATAAAAGAAACTCATTCGGATTGTTTTCAAAAGCATTCCTCCGTCGCCATGGACTCCACTTGCTCGGAACCACCAGTACTTGGTTCTTACTTGACATCGCTTTCTACTCACAAAATCTCTTCCAAAAAGACGTCTTCACAGCCATCGGATGGATCCCTCCGGCAGCAACAATGAACGCCATTGGAGAGGTTTTCAGGGTGGCTAGAGCTCAAACTCTTATTGCACTTTGCAGTACTGTTCCTGGATACTGGTTCACAGTTGCATTTATCGATATCATCGGTCGTTTCGCAATCCAACTCATGGGATTCTTCTTTATGACGGTTTTCATGTTCGCTCTCGCCATTCCTTACCACCATTGGACCTTACATGACAACCGTATCGGCTTCATCATCATCTACTCTTTGACGTTTTTCTTTGCTAACTTTGGCCCTAATGCTACCACTTTCGTCGTTCCTGCCGAAATCTTTCCGGCTAGGCTCAGGTCCACTTGCCACGGTATCTCTGCAGCCGCAGGTAAAGCAGGCGCGATAGTTGGTGCTTATGGATTTCTGTACGCTTCTCAGAGCTCTGACCCTAAGAAGACCGACGCTGGTTACCCACCAGGTATTGGAATCAAGAACTCGCTCATCGTTCTTGGTGTAATCAACTTTTTAGGGATGTTGTTCACGTTTTTAGTCCCTGAACCAAATGGCAAATCGCTCGAAGAACTGTCTGGTGAGAATGAGCAAGATGACGAAGTCGAGCAGACCACATCTAACCGAACTGTTCCTGTCTGATTTGGAACTATTACACAACTACGGACTTTCAAAACTCTGATTTACTTTTGTTGGATACGCATTTTTGCTTTATGAATCCTAAAAAGATTCAAAAAGGATAACCGTGGATGCCATGTTGTTTTCTATGTTTGTGGTTACATGTTTTACCATTTGTGTACGTATTTATTTGCTTGTTTTCCTGTCCAATTTTTTGTGATATAAAATTGTAGCAATTTCATAATGTTGTAAAAATCTGGTTTTGATTATACAATGAAAATTGTAGTTCAAATTACAACTAAAAAAGTTTGGATATATTCGTGTGTTCTAATACCATGTTTATATTTTAAAATAATGAATAAACTTTAATTTGAAAGTTTTTTTTTATTTTTTTTTTATTTTTTTTTATATCATTTCTAACTGCTGAGGAAATATATATATATATATATATATATATATATATATATATATATATATATATAAATTCATCATTTTTTATCCTCTTTTCACATTAATATTCAAAAAAAAGTAACAAAAATATTTTTCTATGAAAAATATGCACCATATGTACATTTTTTGTAAAAAAAGCGCATTTTAGAGTTTATCTTCTATCAAAAAAAAAACAAAATATGAAATTCATCAATTTTCGACCTCTTTCAATATTGATATTCGAATAATAATAAATTTTTTTTCTATGAAAAATGTGAACCATATGCACATTTTTTGTAAAAGAATGCATTTTTTGGAATGTTTTTTAATGATTCAACTTCTATATCAACATCCTAATCAATTAAAATGTTTTTAGAAAAAACTGTTAACGTTATCATGCAGCCACGTTAAACTTAACGGAAAGCACTAACAGGGCGTTATCAAGCCAGGACCTTGGCCGAGATCTAGTCCTGGCCTAAGTAGGCCAGTGCCGAAATGATAGTTCGCTTTTCCCCATGAGGAAAGAATATTCCTCGTGATCTTCTCATTCTCTCACGACCAATCAGGTCATGACAAGGAGTCTGGTGACGCCTAGAACTGACGTCACCTGACAATTAGTTATCTTGGGGATACACCTCCCAATAAAAGGGTGCCACGTCTCACTCCCACATGGGAGGGCCACTTCATTCCGTTAGCAACAGGTATAAAAGGATCTCTTCCTGCCCAAGAAAGGGATCCATGATCTTCTTCTCTAAACAATATACCCTAATCTCTCTCTCTCTCTCTCTACTAAGGACTAACTTGATCGTCGGAGTGACGTCCCGGGAGAACACCCGATCGTCCTTTAGCGATTCTTCTGTGTTGTTTTCTCAAGTAAACTTCCGGGACAGATCCATCAACTAGCTTCAAATCCCATGTAGAAAATGTCACAACATTTGACGACATACAGACGTATCCTCAGAGTGATACAACCAATAAACGACGCTGGTTCTCTGTAAAAGGGCGATCTAAACCCAATAACATCTGGGATTGCAGTAGAAGATCTGTTCAGACTACCAGTGAGGGTAAACAACAACCACCACCGCGAGTATAAAACACATGCCCCAATCCATGTGCTAATGGCACAGGTCCCACCGATTACAGCGAAAATAGCAGATCCAGTACTCCAAAGCAGTTTCCAGCAACTGTTGTTGGAAGGTTCGCTGCCCAAGACGGCGATACCGCATCCAGATCTGCTACAGGAACCTCCGTATGATGGCACTGAGGTACTCACTATCTCTAAGTATCGTAAGAGAAATGCAACTCACCAAGCGGAGGACGAGATATAGGTACTCTCGAGAAATCTACTCAATATTAGTTTTTCGAGCAGCGATCCCAGACCGTTGAACTGGGATCCGCGATATCCACTCCTCACATCTGGATTTATTCGTAATACGAAAATCCATCGGATATACATCGACAATGGTAGTTGCTCCAACATACTCTATGAGCATTGTTTCAGGCAGCTACCAAATGCATGGAAAGAGGGGCTACGACCCCCAACCGGAGGACCGTTGGTAGGGTTCACCAGTCACAGCTTGTGGCTATTGGGCACTATCTGGCTACCCCTAACGTTGGCTAGTCATGACGAAAGGGACCGAATCACAAGAACAATCGAATTCTCTGTGATCCGGTTTCCTGCAGAATACAATATTCTGCTTGGACGGTCAGCAATCTCCCTATTACAGTTCGTGCCATCAACGATCCATGACATAGTTAAATTTAGCACACGCCAGGGATCAGCAAAAATTATTGCTACAAACACCATGTCGCAGCATTGCCATCAGATTATAGCTGCTCCCAAGTTGTTGCGAGCACCAAAGAAGTCAAAGGGGGAAGGTTCCACCGAACATCACCAGATAAACATGGAATACCCAGAGCAGCTCGTGCGAATAATCACTCACCTATCAGGCGAGACCAAGGCACGACTGGTAGCGCTCCTGAAGTAATATTCCACTGTTTTTGCCTGGAAGCCGACAGATCTGACATGTGTAGATCGACAGGCTATAGAGTACAGTCTCAATATCACGCTTGGAAGCAACCCTATCATACAAAAGAAAAGGGGCCAGGCGAAAGACCGGGACAGGGCTATAAACGCAGAAGTGGCCGATCTAGTGAGTGTCGGCATACTCAGGGAAGTAATATTTCCGACATGGATAGCAAATCATGTCATGGTAAAGAAAGCCAATGGGTCATGATGAATGTGCATTGATTACTCAGATCTTAATAAAGCTTGTCCAAAGGATTGTTATCCCCTTCTGGAGATAGATCAGAAAGTTCAATCGGTCGAAGGGTTTTATTTCAAATGTTTCCTTGATGCGTACAAGAGTAACGATCAGGTACATATGAAACGAGAGGATGAGGCGAAAACTGCCTTTCACATAGAGAAGGGCACCTTTTGCTACCAGAAAATGCCATTTGGACTAAAAAAAATGCATGGGCTACATATCATAGACTAATGGACAAGATATTCTCCAATCAAATTGGTAGGAATATCGAAGTCTGCGTCGATGACGTGGTAATCAAGAGCCGAAATGAAGAAACATTTCTCCATGATGTGGAAGAAACTTTCAAAACGCTAGCTAAAGCGCAAATGAAGTTAAACCCGGCTAAGTGTACTTTTGGAGTAGAGGAAGGTCAATTCCTTGGGTATCAGATATCCAAGGAAGGGATTATGCCCAATCCCACCAAAATCCAAGAGTTCCTTGAGTCGAAAACTCCCCACAACCTCAAGGGTGTACAAGAGATCAACGGTAGGTTAACGACATTGGGAAGATTCATTGTCAAATCTGCAGAAAAGGCGTTTCCTTTGTATCAAATCCTCAAAGGATGCCTAGATAAAAAAAAGTTCAAATGGACAGAAAAAGCAGGTGAGGCATTACAACGACTGAAGGATGTCTTACACCAATTACCGGCTCTCGCCTGCCCACTACCAGGGGAGACACTACAAATGTACTTAGCAGCTTCAGAAGAAGCTATCTCCTCTGTGTTGGCGGTGGAGAGGGATGGAAAGCAGGTCCCCATTCATTTAGTGAGTAGGGCCTTGCAAGGGCCAAAGGTCAATTACCCGGCCTTAGAGAAGCTGGTCCTCACCTTGGTGTATGCTGCTAGGAGGCTACGGAGGTATTTTCAATCCCACAAGGTGGATGTTCCAACTAGTTACCCAATAAAGCAGGTTTTGCTAAGGCCGGAAAAGTCTGGGCGCCTGGCCAAGTGGGCCATAGAATTAGGCGAACACGATATCCATTACCACCCCCGGACTAGCATTAAAGCCCATGCCCTCGCAGACTTCCTAGTCGAAATCTCAGATACTATCAAGGGAGTACTGACGACAATCTCTGTCGATCCATTGGAGCCTGAAGCCGGCAAAGAGCTTTGGAAATTATACACTGACGGCGCAGCAAGTAAGGAAGGCTTGGGCACATGCCTCATCCTTCAAATCCCCAAAGGCGAAGAAATCACTTACGCACTGCGATTCGATTTCCAAGTATCTAACAATGAGGCAGAGTACAAAGCACTCCTAGCGGGTCTGAGGTTGGCCAAGGAGGTTGGTGCCAAGCAATTAACATCTCTCAGTGATTCGTTACTCATCACAAACCAGATAAACGGAACATATGAAGCCAAAGATCCAAGGATGCAGTCCGTAGCCTAACCAACACATTCAAAAGTTTTTCAATAAAAGAAATCTCTTGGGGAAAGAATGCGAGGGAAGATGCTCTAAGTAAGCTAGCGTCGACTTCCTATGATCACTTAACAACGAAAGTGCTAGTCAAAGTGCTCCCGGAGAGAAGTATTGATAACCAAAGGGTTAATAGAGTATCGACCACTCTAGAATGGACCAAACCATACGTCGATTACTTGCGCCATGGCGTACTCCCGGATGGCTCAGAGGTGGCAAGAAAAGTCAAGATCAGGGCGTTGCATTTTGCAGTCAGAGACAACCAACTGTATCGGAGAGGGTATTTAAGCCCATGGCTAAAATGCATCTCCAAGACAGAGGCATAGATGCTCCTGGAAGAAAGTCATTCTGGAGACGCGGCGACACACAAAGGTGCTCAAGCACTCACATGCAAAATACTCCGCCTAGGAGTATATTGGCTAGACGTGTACAACAACGCTGCGGCCCTAACCAATAAATGCAAAGAATGCCAGGCATTCGATCCTTTCCAAAATCAACCGGCCATGCCGTTGACCAGCATCACTAGCCCCTGGCCCTTCCATCAATGGGGGATTGACATAGTGGGACCATTCCCACCAGCGCAGGGGTTTTAAATTCTTGTTAGTAGTTGTGGATTATTTTACAAAGTGGATAGAGGCAAAACCGCTGGCCACCATCACAGGAAAGAAAATGATAAAGTTCATGACCAAAAATATATTGGCTCGCTTTGGCACTCCCAGAATTCTCATAAGTGACAATGACACACAATTTGAAGGGAGTCCCTTCAAGGAGTGGTGTGAAAACAAGAAAATTAACCGCCGTTTCACGTCTGTGGCACATCCTCAGGCCAATGGAAAAACTGAGATATCAAACAAAACCATAGTTAATGGTTTGAAGA